AAAGTAAGATGAAGAAAAGAGGGGGAAACGGCGATAGGACGGAATCAAAGAACCCTGGGGAAAGGCTAAACGGGTCGTGGCGCGAAAAGTCTCTTTCAATAAAGGATGTCGAATCGTCAAGATAGCCAACCCGATAGGACGGTAGGTATCTGATTAATCGTCGAGCCGACGTGATAGTAAGGATATATGAATGATAGTGGGCTCGATAGTCTAGTGCCAAAAAGAGCGATGGCTGGTTGATAGTATGCTGGACGGGGAGTATGGCAGATGCAAAGAATGTGGGAAGCAATACAATTGGTGGTTGAGTGCACGGCTAGCCACAAGGAAGTATGTAGCAAATCAACTATGGGCAATGAAAGACAAATTAAAAGAGGGGAGTATTGCTGTAGTCCAGAGAGTTGTAATACTCCGTGGAAGAGCACAAGAGAATGGCATGCGATCAGATGGAAGCAGAGGGAAAGGGGAGTTTGTGAACAGGAGTGAGGAGTAGACACGATTCTCCATAGTAGACACTAGTCAGGAGCAGTACTAGTCACTCGATACTACTTAGTCAAGCCACGGCTGCCCGGACTACGTGCAAAGAACAGGGCACTGTACCTGACTTAGTGAGTGTCTACTGTGAGTTAAACCAGCATGAGCCTAGTAAATCCAGAAGAGTAATTTCTAGTGTGGAGTTCGTTATGGAAAGTTAGTGAAAATACGTGGCTCGAGGGAAAATGACGCGGGGCTAGTCCTGAAATGGACTAGCCAGGGGTCTCAGTCCCACTTTCACTTGGTCCCGCTTGCCCATTTTGGGCGTAGTTCATGGCCCGCGAACCCGCCCAAGGCCCCGACGCGCTTCCCAAGTCCTTCCAGCCTGACTTCTCGGCCAGTCTGGCTGATTTCTGGCGTTCTCTTTGGTGTCTTTGGTGCGATGGACCCAAATAGTGCGACGAACATCCTCCGTATCGTATGAAACCATGCGGGATATTGAGCCGAGCGGGAATAAGTGCGTTGGACTTGGTGGTCTAAAAACCATGTGGCGCGCACGGATGGAAAGAGGGAAAGATAGCGACATAGCGAGAATTCATCTAAGAGCTCATCTATCTCGTACATTAGACTGACAACCGTCTTCTTCTCATAAGATTCTTTTAGTGGTTATGAGCCCATCACCATTGACAGCACCCAGGCAAGAATTTTTGGTTTGCTGCGGAGTATAGTAACGTTGTCCAGTGTTTTCTGTGGATTACATACTCGATCCCCATGCTGGCTGGGATATGAACGGACTTACCTGCTTCAGCGCCCAAGACACTCGTTCTGTACAATTTGTTATGGTGGCTAAGTCAATCTAGCAAAATCCTTTTTGCGAAATCTCACTCTGGATGAAGCTGCGTCCTCAACGGAATTGATCGGTTTGTAAACTTGTATAATGTTTACATACGCTTCGCTCGGAGAAAAGCGAGCTCGATCAAGAGTTTCGTACCCTCGTCTAGTTTAGACAATCATATACGCACGTAGTACAGTCGCATCAATGCAGAATTATATATGTACATCGATTGACCCAATCGACAATATTCAATCGAAGGTTGAGGCAGTATTTTACTATTGTTGCGCTTTTGGCCCAGGCGCCATATCCCTTTCTTTTGGCTCCACATCATCACGCTCAGTCTCCCGTTCAAGCTCGAGATCTTGTGCCAGAGACATTTCTTGGGCTGCACAATCCATCATTAGCTCCAGTTCAACCCGTATGTCCATATTCCTGCCGAGTATACTCACCATTCCACAGCTCAGCATAAATGCCATTCAGATCCAACAATTCTCGGTGGGATCCCATTTCTGCCACACGTCCATCCTTGAGGACGAGGATCTGGTCGCTGTCATAGATAGTTCGCAGTCGGTGCGCCACGAACACGCTGGTGCGTTTCTTTTCTTTCAAAATGCTGTTGATGTTTTGCAACAATGCCTGTTCCGTGTATGTGTCGAGGGCAGAGGTCTGTATTCTTTCAGTCAGCGATTTCATACCGCAAAACCAAACTTGGGTCCTCGCATATCATACCGCTTCGTCAAAGAACAATAGCTCCGGATCCTTCAGAATCAGGCGAGAGATGGCTAATCGTTGCTTCTCACCCCCTGAAATCATCATACCTCTTTCTCCCACCGCCGTCTGATACCCTTCGGGCAATTTCTGAATCAAACCATCAATGCGTGCTCGTTGAGCGGCCTTGCGCACTTCCTCATCGGTTGCATCGATTCTTCCATAACGGATATTATGGGCAATGGTGTCATTGAACAATGGCGTATCCTGCGGCACAACTCCAATCGCTTTGCGCAAGCTCTCAAGAGATATATCACGCACATCTTGATCATCAATCAGAATTCGACCCTCCTGGACATCATAGAATCGGAATAAGAGTCTCAGGATAGTGGACTTGCCGCATCCACTAGGGCCCACGATAGCAAACTTCTGTCCTGCAGGAATTGTAAAGCTAGCGTTCTTGAGGATGGGACGGTCGGGGTGATAGCCGAAGGTCACATTTTCAAACTTGATCTCTCCTCCTTTGTGGAGCTGGAGCGGTTTGGCGTTGGGCTTCTCCTTGATGTTGACGTTGACCTTTTGCAAATTGAACAGCGTCTCCATATCTAGCAAAGACTGACGGAGTTCACGATACACTGATCCGAGGAAATTAAGTGGCACTGAAAGCTGAAAGACCAGCTGATTGACCATAACCAGGTCGCCAACCGTCAAGTTTCCGTTGGCGACTCCGTTGGCAGCAAGATACATCATTGCGGCCAGTGCGCTCGAGAATATCATATTTTGGCCGGAATTCAGAAAGGCAAGAGACGTCGTCACTTTGATGGAGGCATCCTCATAAGCCTTGAGTGCCTTATCGTAGCGCGCCACCTGATACTGTTCATTATTGAAGTACTTGACAGCTTCGTAGTTGATCAGAGAATCGACAGCCACCGTCGCTCCACGGTTATCAGCTGCATTAGCCTGTTTTCGAAATTTGGTTCGCCAGGCAGTAGTTGTGATGGTGAAGGCAGTGTATGCGACCATCGTTGCCGATGTGATCGCAGCAAATTGGAATCCGTATTGGTATGTCTAGCATTATTAGTCGCCGGGCAGTCCTGCCTACGATCGATAACTGCGACTTACCAGGATACCGCAAACGAGCGAGATTTCCAGAGCAGTAGGTACCACATGGAAAACCATGGACGTCAGCAAGAAGCTGATGCCTTTCGTTCCACGATCAATTGCCCTTGTTAATCCACCAGTCTGGCGGCTGAGGTGGAAGTTGAGATCCAGCCGCAGCAAATGCTCAAAGACATTCCGCGCAACCCTGCGGATTGCTTTCTGGGCCACGCTCGCGAAGACAGCGTTGCGAAGCTCTTGAAATAGAGTAGCCCCGATTCGGGTAGCTCCATCTAAAAAGTGATTTTTGTTAGACTTTATTGTATAGTTACCCGCCAAGCAGCTATCGCTTACATGCAATAATCATTGAACCAGCCACGGTGTATGCTGTTCCGCCGACAGTCGCAAAGTCGATGTTCATCGAATCCACGATGCTTTTGAAATAGAAGGGAACTTCCACGTTCAAGATCTAGGTCCCCTTTGTGAGCTGCCTCTTGATGATTTTGTCCTTCAATGGCCTCTTACCTTTGCTCCAACCAACAAAGAGAGCGCAGTTCCGACACGAAGTTTGGTCCCCCAGTCATCCTGCATTATACAAAATCAATACCCATGTATTGCCAAAAGATAAAGGCCTCACAGTGCCTTACCTTTGGCCAGAGATACTTGGCCATTTCCTTGATGATAGCCCAATCTGCCTTCCTTTGTTCCTTGTTCGCAACCGTCGTCTCGCTGAGCAGGTCTTTCTTCGCGGTCGTCGCATTTCGTGAATCTTTCGGTGGGTTCACACTGGCGGGTGCCGGGGTAGGTATGGGGTCCGCAGTCTTCAATTTCGATGCCGGATCTTTAGGTGCCTCCTTCCTTGACGGGCCGTTGGCTGAGGAGATTGCTTTATACTGTATTCCGTAGCAAGTGGTAGCCCACAGCGCTGTGCGCGGAACGGCGAGACCACCACGGGCGAAGCGCCTGGGGAGACGCAGGCATGGCGATCGAGCTGCTCCGGGCAGCATTATGGCCGTAGATCCTATCTGACGACGGTCTTCACTCCGATGTATTGTCAGGAGACCATCATAGACGTGTGTTCTTGGTTGTAAATAGCTCGCTGGCCATGCAAACCGCCGGGTTCGGAGGTTGAGCTCGGCGGGGACAATCTGCGTTGCTGTGAGGTACTCCCGGATTCAGTTACCCTCTCGGCACGAGACACTACTCTGCTAGATCTAATCAACAACTTTTGCGGGAACTCAAGAAAGACGATAACAAAAAGAAGGAGATCCTGAAGACATGCAGAAGTACGTAATGGCAGAGATAACATCAAAATGTGTTGCTCTGTCGCAATCGCCAATTTGCTTCCGGTAATTACACATGAACGCTGGTATTACAGACAGCGCATTTTCTCCACACTGTGTCTTCAGATCCATAAAGTGCTTATAATCGGTTTATGCTTGATTAGGTAGAAATCAACCGACAGAAGGGAATGAGCATCTATTTCCTGCTGCAAAATCTCAAATCCTAGCTGGAAATAAGAAGGTGAGTGCAGGTTTATCTTGTAACAGCCTTTTTCGCATGTGACATCACAGGATCCCATTAGTGGAGATGTTTTAACATTTGGGGAGGGCACACAACAGTATCCTATGACTTGCTTAGAAGCAATTGAAAGCTGCTCAGTCCATCATCAAGCTCCTAGACATCTACTTAGAGAATCCCCAGCGACATTCGAGTTGACGCTCATAGAAGAGCAACCTCCAAAGGCGGTGTTGGGTTCCAACCAAACGCTTTACCCAATTAGGAATCTTGAAATCCGGGCAATCGAGGAGCGTCACTCACGGCCGGCCCCATAGTCTCACAATCGCTTTTCTGCAATACGTCTAGAAAATTTGCTGTAGGTTCAAGGATGAGTCAACCTTTGAGAGGAGGTGTTCGGACTCTATCCTCCATCCGAGCCGGCCCTCCGCGGGTGCGACGGGATGTTGCATCGCTTCCCCGATTGCAGACAAGATGCGTCCAAATCCGCGCGGCGCCTTCAGAGCGACCAGGAGCAGTTAATGGGGATCAGCTCGCCATTGTCGACACACCAAGCTCGGCAGAATCAGCCGGTATGTGCATATTGAGATGATAGCGCCATTTGCAGTTGTCTTGAGCGCAGACACCCTCGCTAACAGCTTTTGAGACAGATGCGCGATTCGATGTCATTGGCGCACCCTACTCATTGCTCTCAGTTTCGCTTTCCGCTTCACAGAATCTTTACACTCGACGAGGGACACTGGTGGGATTAAGTGGGAAAGCAGACAATGTACGAAGGCGACCTTTGATTTTCCACGCTTTCGTCGAGGTCACCCTGCTGACTGCTCTCGGCTTGATTTGCAGGTAGTTTCGACATTAAGCATTCTCGAGCCTTTCCGGAGAGCCGCCGTTGGCATACCGTTTCTCTACCAGAAGGTCTGGAGCTCTAAGGCATCATGCGCAAACGAGTCATTGCTGAAATCGGGCTAGGTATCGTCGGCGAGTCCAGTAACGGCGTTGGTCTCCGTTCGATCCCCTGTCACCTCTTTCGCGGTTGTCCGCCTCGATGGCTCGGTGGACTGGATGATTGCTCAAAGACGAGCGTTGCTCGCCTGGACTGGTCGCACTCTCACTGTCCGGCCAACGATCAACACGGACCTGGTCCGCTAACCCTATATTATCTATGCGGGAAGACTGTGCTAACTTGAGCAGAGCTTGGCCCACTGGGGTAGTTCAGAGGTGACGGGACGAGGGCTGCTGGCACTGGTTGGCGCCGGCCAATTATATTCAGTCGAGTTGAAGGCCGGGGAACAATACATTGTACACCCCAGGTATGCATGTTTCTCATCTTTGGACGCCTGTAGTTCTAACACATAGTAGTAATGTGGTGGCCTACACCATGACCTCCAACCCACCACGCCCATACCGTTTCAAGTCGACAACACTGAAATTCCAGGTTCCAGGCCTCAAGAGCCTGCCGAATTTCTTCCAGAACTCCAAGTTCATTCGGGACATGGCAGACTCAAACACATGGAAGACGACAATGAAAATACTGCACAAGGTTCGCACATGGTCGCGAATGACCATCTGGGGAGATAGGGTATGAGCCACCTGCAATCGTCTTGACTTCATGAACTAACTGTACATGTGACCAGCTTTTCCTCCAATTCGACGGCCCTACAAAAATCCTCTTGCAAACCCGTGGACCTCGTATCAATGATATCATGTCTGCCCGTGAAATCAACGAAATCGCGGATACGCCAAGAGGATTGACCTTCGACCCTACAAAATCTACTGAACAACCACGGGTAGCTGGGGAGGAATTCAGAAATGTTGCTCATGAGGCTGTCAATGCAGGTCCTGGGCCGTCGCGGACCATTGAGGAACTGGAAAACGAGATGAAAGGGATCAGCCAGAGTATCGCGACGCTCACCAAGGAGGGGAAAGTTATCATTGAAAAGGTTGCGGAGAAGAAGTAAGATGCAGTATTTTTATACGTAAATTCAACAGCGACTCGGGGTTTTTCCATTTTGCAGGTTCGATGTACTATAGAACGAGACAATTATCTTCTCCCGATCTCACGAGCTGTCCTCCGCCTCTAAATGGAGAGGTTTTGATCCTTTTTGTCATTGTGCCATATGCCTACCAGAGCAGATCATGCTTAAGTCAAAAGAGCCAGTAGTCTTAGAACAAAACGCAACATGTATTGGCTTTATTGATCCTGCAAAGGTATGTTCGTAGTGTTCTGAGGCAGGCCGTTCGAGTCCAAGGTGCTTACATATTTCTTCTGGCTGTTGATCCCTTATCATTGGCCATGGCAATGCAACTTAGTACCGAAGTTATCATGAGGTAAGATCCTACCAGGTAGAATCCATCGAAATACTCATCTAAGCTGCCTGCACCTATAGTCATGCTTCTCTGGCTAGTTGCGTACTCATGGCCTGAAGCTTTGACTGTTATTCCTCTGCGTCGAAAGCTTATTGTACAAGTAGGTCAACAACCTGCTTGCCTACAAGTGGATGTCTAATCCAGATTTTACACAGAAAGAGTATGTTTGATGCATATTATTTCACATATGACGTCGATTTCTGATATGTTTCGACGTCTCGACTAGCGAGGCAGGTGCCTCATATATCTGTATTCCAAAGCTGCGGAAAGTATCTTCCCGTGCAGAGTCACGACCCCCCGTCGTGTTCCGCGCTTCACCAAGGACCAGAGCCTGGCCTGCATGGAGACCTTGAGTCCATGTTCGACATATGGCTAGGGGTGGCTGTTTGCAACCATCTGCCGCAACGTGATGCGGATGCTGCGAATGACAATTGGCAAATGACGGGGTCTATCAAAAAATAAAGACCGTCCTCTAATCCTGCTGAGAGTACACCACAAGAATCAGCCAGAACAGATGACCTCACTTGGCAACTGTCCCCGCCTTGCTCGTAAAGGATAGCGAAGCGTACCGGGCGAATCCGGTTCATCTGGGCTCTCTTTACTTGGGCTTTTGGTTCTGGAACGCTTTGAGCGCTTTGGCTGGCAGCTTTCAAAAATATCGTCATCACTGTAATGAGCTAGGCTCTCTTCAGGCTCTTCGTAATCTTCGTCAGATTCAGCAGCTTGTCGTTTTGTGCCTGCACGTGCTGGCTGTTTCTTGATCGACAAGATGCTTCCGAGGCCGTTTCTGTGCGCTGAGGGCGCATGGCCAGTGATCTCGGTAGTCTGCTGCTCGCGCTGCCTGCTCTGAATGCGCTCTTTTAGGGTGGCAATCTTGGTCGCGAGCTTCTCGTTCTTTGGAAAAAATGGGAGCGCCAGCTGATACATTTTCAGGGCCGAAAAGTCCTCCCCTCGCGCCTGATGTTGCTTGCCCATGAGTAGGTACGAAAGTCCCTCGGTTCTGGCATCATCTGTGCCTTCAATCCGCTGCTCCAGTATTTCCAGACGTTTTTGCAGTTGTTCATTCATCTCACAGACTTGACTCTGCTTCGATTGCTCACTGACAGCCCGCGCGGCAAGGATCTCCTCAACTTTCTTCTCGACCATTTCTTCAATCATTGCTGTGGAGATTTCTTCCTGCAGTTTGCTAGGTAGAGATATCTGCGCGATCCGAGTAGTCTTCGATGTTCGGTTCGGGTGTGCTCCGTGAAGATCAGAACTCAAAGAAGGTCTCTTCGGCCCATCAGCTCGTTTGAATTGCGCCGAATTTCTAGAATGGGACTTGTCCGAGTACACGTGGAATGCTTTCACTGGCTTGCCGTCACCAGGTTTTGATGTATCTTTGTTAGTTGGTACAGTCAAGTTGACATTAACAGAGGCTGTCAATGGCCGAAGAGGCTGCCGCTGAGCATTTGCTGTTGAGGCTCGTGCCACCACCCTCGGTGGTCCTTTGAACATAGGCTCATTCTCCACTTCGCGAACTTCGATCTTCTTGGTACGGTTTGCGAAGTTTAGAGAGCTGAGGGTATCTAGGTGATAAGACTTGATTGGCGCGAGGTTGAGGATCATGACGGTCAAGCCATTGTTCTGGCCCAAAGATAATATCCTCGTCATTTTCGACTCACGATATGGAATTCGTTGTTGCTTCTTGCTGATTGCTTCTACGCATTGCGCAAGAACGAAAAGACTTTTGTTAATACTGGCCGATTCAACCATGCGTTCCTTGTCGTTGTCCGTCCGGCGGTTATCCTCTGACCCAGCGAGATCAATAGCAGATGCAGTGCTGATGCGAACCTTGTCACCGGAGCTGATGGTCACCTTCACACACAGAATGGCGTGCGATCGGGATGAATGAGCATTTAACTAAAACTAAGTTAGCCTTGCCTAACATATCCTGGTTTTCGAAGCCATGTCTATTGACCTTTGTTGCAGATGTGGATCTGTTGATATTTGCATGGTCGTACAGGCTCTCGAATTCTTTCAGGCTAGTGCACGGTTTTTCCGTCAAGCCTACGACTACAGTCTTCCCGCCATTGTCCCGAAGAGGCAGCCCTGCTAGTGTCCTCTTCTCTGGGGGTTCGAACAGGTCGAAGACTTTGTCATTGTAGATCTCATAGTAGCTCAAGGCAACCTTGACAGTTGTTTCTCCTTCGCTGTCCTTCTCGATCTTCCTGCTGCGTCTGTATATGCTACTCAGAAGACGCGGAATAACACCTCTCTCCGCCAGGCTTTTACCGCCTCGCATAGTATGTGTTTTCCCCGTTCCGGTGACCCCATATGCAAATATTGTGACATCGAAGCCGTTGAAGAGGTGCTTGACTGTGGGAGAAACTGAAGGGATAACGTCAGTCTATCATGGCGGTCAGACCAGAGGAATGCATGACGAACCCTCGGCATCATACAGCTCTTGTTGCGAGGCATCTGCATCATAAACGGCATTGAACTGGAAAGAGTATTCCTCGTTTTCGTTCTTGGGATTGGGGATCCTGACAACTGTATCTCGGTCCCTCAGTTTTGCAACCGCCGAATTGCCCCGGGTGCTCTTTTGGTCGCCCTTTGGCGGCAAAGTATGACTTGACGGACCAGTGCGAAGAATTACGTCTTGCTCACGCTCCGCTTTCAGAAGTGGCCTAACACGGGCCACAACCCGAACACTCATATTATCTGTTAGGTGCTCGTTCTATCGGGCCTTCTCGTTTGAAATGCAGTTCCCACGCGACTGGAAGTACCGTTGATCGAGATCTGAGTTAATAGTTCGACCGTGTGCGTTCCTCCAATTCAGAATAAACTAGAGGTGACCTCCGGGGTTCTTAGGTTTCGCATAGCAATGAGGCGCTCGAATCACTCCGCGAATGGATGCACGATCAGGGTAGGAAAATATAATCCAAATCAGAGCAAGGTGAAGATACGGTGGACTCGATAAATCAAAGACACAAACCCACAAACTAAAGCCAATGACCCACGATTAGAGCGAGAAAGAAAAGAGCGCTTTAGCGAAATACCCTTCACTGCAAAAATAGACCCGCTAAGCACCTTTGGACTGAGTTGCTGTCAGAGAGGTTACTCACTCGGCCGTGCTCTTGGAAGACAGGCAGGGATGTGCTCACTTGGTGCGATGCTTAGCGGTCAGGCGCTGTTGGCACGGCAACCTCGCACTCATCTTACTAGGACGAGGGTGGATACGGAGCATATCCATGCCAGTGCGATTTGCAGTAAGATAGGGGGTCAATCAGTTGAATCAGGAGTTCGTTTAGTAATGTCTTTTACAAGTAACAAGTGGTTTTCTACTCAATCCGAAAGCAAACATTGGCAACTCAATGATTGCCTACTGCTCATTGATCTTACTTGAGAATCCAGGCATACCTCTATCTCCTGGCCTTCACACAGAACTGAGTAGCAGCTTGTTTCATTTGACCTTTATGTAAGCGCTACGACGCAGGTGCACAAACAAGTAATGGTGGAAATCGAATCCTCAAGTACCGGGGGTATGTATGGCTGTGAAATCAGTACTGGAGGAAGAAGAATATATAATCCCCATGCGCTGCGGGCGTCAACCACCTGTAATGAAAGTCGAGTCTTACAGGGAACCCAGTATCTACATGATATACACCATGCTTGAATGCGATCTCAGTTCTTCAAGTGATCATCTCTTTACCTGCGGCGATGCCAACATCATCCAGGTTCCATTTTGTTTATCAATGGACTTACTCCCTATGAGATCATCGCTAGCCCTCCGGACACTTATTGATTATGCCAACAACCCAGCAACGTCGGACGGATTTCCGGAGGATTATAGAATTGTAAATATCTCTGCTACTCAGCTCTCGAACCAAGAGCATCCCACCCGACAATTATATCTGGAGCAAGTGTTTGTGATTTACTCAGAAAGCTGGAGTGTTTTGGTAGACTGTGAACTTCGGTTAGGCTCGTGGGGTCTGATTGGTCCAAGGGGAACAGCAGCCGCAAAGGCCACCGTACACCATCCATTTTGAGGGAACCTCCATTATCTACCTACAGCTATCCCAATCTCTGCCAGAACACGTCGACTGCATTCGTGTGCGGCATCTGCCTATGATACCTTGGATTCGTATTCCACGTTTGTCTGAAGCGTGACCCTGCTTGTTGGTACGCGCATTGCCCCGATTCTTTGATCATCTCCCCGCCCCTCGCTCGAGACAAGTGCTGACTAGTAAGGTAGTGAAGCTGTGACAAGTTGCGCGACCATTCAAGATCCCTTAGCATCCGCCCTCGGAATTCGCACGGATTGAACAACTTAATATTATTCATACACAAAGAAGTCACGCGTCGTCCTTCATGGCATCACCACAAGGGGGCTATCCTCCCCAGGAAGGGTATGGTCAACCGGCCGGTTATGGGTCTCCCACTCAGCAACACGCGGGCATGGCCGCCGGAGCTCCCCCCCAAGGTCATGCAGGTGGTAAGAAGAAGCGAGCATATGCTGGGGAAGCCTTTGAAATTGGGTCTGGTGCCAATGCTGCTCTTGGGGGACAACTCCCCGCTGGTGGCAGTTACGGTGCATATCCCCCTCAGC